AGTCCTTTGTGAATTTGGATTAATCAAAAGACAGGCCAGAAATGTGGGTGTGCTGTGTAGGGATTGCTGGGAGTGGTGGGGTTTGAGGAACAGAGGGAGAGAAGGAGAGAGGAGAGAAGAGATAGAAGGGTTTTCAAAAAGGCTCACAGGAAGCAGCTGCTCCAATTTCCCTACTCAGTTGCGCTCAGCCACGTTCCCGATTCTGGATTGGTTTTTCAAACTTTTAAACGGGAGATTTCACAGAGGAATAAAGTTGCAGCACATCATGCGGGTTTTGAGACAAGGGATTCTGTTTTTTATTTTCTACAGTCTTTTGATTTCATTTTTACTTCTTTCTTAATCCTGGATTTAGAGGAGAGTTTCTAGACAACCCAGTAGTGGAGTGGTTTTGTTTGTTTTAATATAATTTTAGTTGCATGTTATAAAGAGGTACACATGTGATTTTTGCTTCATACTTTTAATGAAATTGACCTGGAGACAAAATAGACATGATTTCCAATTCAATGTCATGCACTTAAAAATGGTACTTATTTTAAATTTCGGAAAGCTAAACTCGATGTCACTTGCTTCATCCTATATTTTTTCTTATAGTTTCCCATTTATTTTTGCTTGCTTCCCATTCCTGAGAGCATCATCCCCAGCAGCCATGCTGTCCCACTGGAAGCTATGCTACCTGCTCTTGCTCTTGTCTCGGGTGTTGGGAGGGTTGACAGTCAAGAAGATTTGTGAGGGTGAACCACTGTACTCATTTCCCTCCACACCCTACCTCAGGTCTGGTCTTCATGTCATCTCAGCGTTTGAAGTTATTACTTGCACCCTCTGGGATTGAAAATTAAACTTTCACTACTGCCTTACGTGTCCTTCACTCAAGAGTTCATCTAGCTGAAATCACCTGTGAAATATTAATGAGAGGAGCTGTCCTATATTCTTTAGAGATGCTTCTGTTCCATGCAGGGAGCTGAGCTCTACAACTTTAACGCTCTTTCAGACACGGATGAACTACTAGTCAGCCTGCTCTGGCTCTCCTCATTCTTTTGTTGCCACTCTCTCACATAGCACGGGCAGTGTGTGGCTTCAGAATGGTGCTGTTTAAGGTTCAGAGAGGTAGATAAGGGGAAAAGTACCATATATACTTGAGTATAAGCCAACCCGAATATCAGCCAAGACACCTAATTTTACCACAAAAACTGCATTAAAAATGTGCAGAAAAACTCAGCTTATAAACGAGTATATATGGTAATATATAAATGTGTACTTCTCACTTAAAAAAAAAGAGAATGGGGAGAGATATACTGGATTTAGGTAACACCACAGTCATTATCTCCTGTGATTCAATTTTGTTCCCAAACTAATGTTTATGGAGTTCTCTTATAAGAAAAATGTCAACCAAAATCACTTTTACATGAAAAAGAGACACATGAAACCGTATCTAAGTCCTCATTTAAAAGATGGGTTCACACGGCAATAAAACATCTGGAAGCCCCTAAGGAGAAACCCGAAGCTGACTACCAGTGTATCTGAAATACCATTCTTTTACTGAAACACTGAGCTTTTTAGGTACTATTTGTAAAACTCACACCATCACTTTGGGGAGCCACATCCTGATTCAGAATACGGCCAACTGGATTTAGTTCGTGGATCACTTTTGTCTACCAGCACTATCAAGAGAAGTGGACGTACCCAATCAAAATCACAGATTTTCCCAGTGGATGGAGTTTTCATGATCATGGCTTTAATCCAACTCAATATATAGGTTCGGATTTCTGTAGAAGTACATCTAAGTCCTACTCCAACATCTACTAGAATTTGACCTCGGTGAAGCTCCATTTCTTCATTTGTAAAATGAAGCATTTAGATTGGATGACGTCTAAAGCTCTTGATGAGGCTAGAATGCTACAAATAAATTGGGTGTATTCCTTTAAAGATATATTAAATGCGCTTCCTCAAATCACTACATGTTGCCTGTTCTCCTGAATATGGGTATTTTAATTTTTGCCATCAGGAACACTTGAGTGACATTTTGCCAAGACCTGATGATGTATGTGCTCACATCAGAACATGGAAACCTCAACGGCCAATCACAAAAGGGCTTCAGCAGCGAGCGCTCACCTGACAGGTTTAAGAGAGGCACTGAAACATCTAACCTCGGAAGACCTTGCATTTGTATGGTGTCTTCAATCTCTAGGCTATTTTACCATCCATTTCCTCTATTTGGTCCTCACAAAAAGTCCAGGCAACGGGTAGATCCTTTTATGAAAGCAATAACCAGAGAGTCCAGAGAAAACACTGAATTTTAAAACCTGCTTAGATGAATGAACTCCCACCCCATTCTTACTCCGAAGCATTTAGCCACTCTGTTTTCCAAAATGAAATCTTTTCATACTAGTGCTGTAATTGTTTTCTGGGTCACTTTTCATAACAAGTCAGAGAGATTTGTACAATTTCCGTACTAAGAAACTCAGTTGGACAAGGCCACCAGCCAAAGAGGGGTCATGTCCTTCCAGAGGCTTTGGTGGCTCTTCGGGCTGCCACAGAAAGGATCTCCCTAGAAGACACTCAGCCTTTCCTGAAAACTAGAGTTGTCCATGAGCCTCTGCGAACAAACTCATTGCGCTCGATGCCATCGTTAGAGTACTAGGAACAGAGGCTGCCCTGGAGCTGGGAGACTCTGGAGACCTTCCTCCCTGGGGAAAGGAAACCACACTAAAATCAAACCACGGTAGAGCTGCTCCCTAGGGCTCCTGAAACTGTGATGTCAACATCAAAGGAAGCTACCCTTCTTTCTCCCATGAAGCAGTGGGTAGGTTCCCACTGTGGCCCCATGGGCAGCCCACTAAGCCACTAAGCCCACTAAGGCACTAGGGCAAGGCCCTGGGTACTGGACGTAGAGCAGAATGAAACAGGGATTGGTCCTGTGTCATCCCACAGGTGTTCCTGTGCTTGAGTGCATGGTTAAACCCACTCTGACCATCCATCGCCTCGAGGCTCGCCCTCGTTTTCGCTGCCCCTCTGCTTGACCAAACAGAACGTCTTTTCCAGGGACTGGCCTCGCCTGAGCACACGTTGTGCCTGAACAACTGTCCTAATCAGAAAGCCATACACATCACAGCTTGTTAAACGTGCAACCGTGGCCAAGTAGCTTAATCGTTCTGGATCTGTTTCCTAATATTAAAAATGATGGTTGTGAGGATTTCATGAACTAATTTACGTACATCACTTCCCTACCCCAGAAGGGGTAAGGCAAGTGTTAACTGTTAACTACTTAGTTTATGAAACTCTTTATTTGAGAGTGCTATGCTTAGCACACGGCTTCCCAGTAAGTGCTCTCTCAATATGAGACATTTTTATGGGTCTCAAATTAAAACAACAGATGCCGGAAATTTAATTTTTTTTCTTTACACAAAATTGCAAAATTGCTCCAGAGTGTAAAACTTGGATGCTCTTAATTAGAGAATTTAAAAGACATAAACTGAATAGATCTACAGATTGGCCTTACCATCTGATATTTTAAAAAAAATAATACACATATTGTCAAATGCCCAGGTTAGTTAAGTCCACATCTGGTATTAAAGTTCTGTTTCTTCGAAGAGTGAAAAACGCAGAGGGCAGATGGTTACCTCCGTTTCCCCTAGGAAAATAAACTGGGCTACTGTACACAAGAAGACAAAATCATTGTGCCTGAATTCATAGAAAATGATGGTGCCCCACGAAAAGACGCCGTGTTCCTCCTGCTCAGCATTTTAATTGGCGGCTAGGGCAATCATTAAACGAAAGAAATACCAAGCCAGACTTGCAAAAGTTATCTGTTTCTGTTTCAGAGGTTTCACTACAATCACAACACACACCCCAATCCAAGCAAAAGAGAGCAAAGCAGACACACGAAGGGAAAAATCCTACACTCAAAATGAAGAAGTAGTCAAGGCTGGAACTGTTTAACATCACTCTTTGCCACTAATGAGCTGAGTCAGCTAATCAACCCCTTTGGACCCCCTTTCACGGAAACTTGTGGTGGATAATCTGAGTAATCGGTCCTATTAGTTCTTTGGGATTTCTTTGTTGGTGGTGGTAAGGTATTTCCAAATGTCTTTCTTTAAAAAAATTTTCCCCACAGTTTGCTTGCCATAGAATTCGACAGTTCAATCGCGTGAAGAAGAGCTGTGTTAGTTTTCCTCCCTGACAGACACTTTAGCTTTCCGGGCTGAGTCTAATATAATGCCTGTGATGTAGCGTTCGTACGCCTTTCTAACCTCCGCTTTCATTGTCGTCCTGTGCCTGTTTCCTTCAGAATCTTCTAGCTTACCTTCAGGAGCTGGTCTCTCATAGGCAGCTTCTTTCCTACACTAAGGAGCCCTGGTGGCTTGGTGGGTCGCGTATTGGGCTGCAAACCACAAGATCAGCCAGCGTTGATCTAGTCCCTCTGTGGGAGAAAATGGAGGCTTTCTCCTCCCTTACAGCCTGGGAAACCCACAGGGCAGTCTCCTTTGTTCTAGAGGGGATCACCTTGAGGGCAGTGAGTTGATGTGGCTTGTTCGTGGACTAGAAAAGCTGAACTAAACCCTATCCTGCATCCGAATCAGCTCAAAAGCCAATTAAAAGAGACTGAGTTGAGCCCCAGGGATCTGAGAGCAAACCGAAAGCACCGCCCTCGAGTCCGTTCTGATGGATGTCAACCCTACAGGACAGGGTAGGACTGCCCCTGTGGATGCTGAGGCTGTAACTCTTATGGAAGTAGAAAGTCTCATCTTTCCCCTGAAGAGTGGTTGGTGATTTCGAACTGCTGACTTTGCAGTTAGCAGCCCATCGTGTAACCAGTACACCACTAGGGCTCCCATGAGGGTAGGGGTGGGAGTGTCTGAGGCAGAGGAGAGAGCCTGCAATTTGAACAAGATTCCAGGGGATCTGGAGGCTACTGGTCCAACAACCATTTGGGGAACATTGCGCTACGGTATGCAACCCTGGTAATCAACCCCACGGAAGGGCAGTTGAGGAGGAAAAGTTACCTCAATGGAACTGGGAGAACAGCCCGTCTGGCCTCCCAGCTCCACGTGGGTGAAGTTGATTTGAATCTTTTCTCCCACAGGTTGTTCGATGATGTAGATGCACTGCCTGCTGTGGGCCAATGGTCCAGAC